CAGGAATGAAAACAGCCCTGTATAACAAAAGCATCTCTATATTATCATCAACACTGTTTTCAGCACAAATCCACAATGTAGCTCTGTACTAGCTACTGTGAAAAAAACTAACCCTATCTCAGCTGAAACCAGGACACACTTTGATAGTTTTTTGTTTTGTTTTTTATGATACATAATACTTTATAGAATACTATGCCTTTAAAGCAAAACAAAAAACTTCAAGAAAAGAATATAAAATTCTTGGATTAGACACCCAAAATTAGTGACTTAAAAAGAAATCATTGTCTTTCAGTTCTTCAGTAGAGAACGTAGATAAGAATGCCCCTTTATCCCTCTTTTTAAATGAAAATAAATAAATATTTGGGAAGCATTTATGCGCTATGATGATGTGAGCTTTATAAAAGCCTGCCAGGAAATTATTACTTATGCCTTCAGAGTGAGGTTTGAATGGTATTCAGTAGATTAGACATATGTCAAGCAACAAGGAGGAAAGAAAGCGGTCATTTAGTCAGCTCTACTCAGCTAGTGCCCTCAATGAGTTAGGAGTCTTTTGATGCAAAATGGGTAGGTAGACAAAGCAGGCCTAATTAGAGTTGCACAATAATGCTTAATTTTGGTATTAACTGCCCAAGGTGACTTGAGTCTACATCCCCTTTAAGAGCTCTTCTGTCAAGCTATAGAGAGAAAACCTCTGTCATCTGAGCTGCTGATAGTCCTTAGAAATTAAAAATTTGGGCATCTAACTTCCATATGAAGAAAATTTAATTATGTACATAAAGTAGAATCGGAAGTGATTGGGTGGTCTCCAGCCACCACATCAAATGGTGTTAGAGTAGGTTAGTGGGTACATCATTGATTTGGAAGGTGTGGATTCACATCCAAGGACTCCAGCAATAAAATTATCTGACAATCCACTAGTCTTTTAGAACTGTTCCCTGAAAAGTGACTAGCAGCAAGTGGTCTCTTATGGTCTTCACTTTCAGTGGAAAAGAGAACATACTGGAAAAGAACATCACTGTTATTGCAATGTCAGTAAAAATACCAGATTTAATGGTATCAGCAAAAGAGGAATCTGACTTGAAGGTAATGCTATGAATGTTGGGATTAACTGAATCAAAACCACATTTGTGATCAGTTTCCACATGAAGATTTAAGTATCAGACACTTTCATTAGAAGATCCCATTTGGATGGCTCTACACAATGCGGGGTGGGGGGTGAAGTCATACACATAGTTAGGAATCTGAAATGACTTTGATGTTTTTAATAGATAGTTGCCTGAGTACCTACTGCATGCTAATGAACTCATTATAATTATGATATGATGATTTTTCTTCTCACTGAATAACAGGAATTTGCTAACTTAAAGCAAGATAAAAATGAATCAAAAGGAAGCACGGGCCTCAGACTGGCATTTCTCTGCATAATAGTCTCTTGTTTGTAAGCAAATGAGAGCCACTTGAATTATATTGTATTATTTAGATATGTTGCCCATCTCACATTTGAACTTTTAGACCTCTTTCTATTCACATTTGTTTACATGATCTGAGTTAGCTTTAAAAAAAATGCATCAGCAGTTTAATGGAATTAGTTATGTGTTGTTTCCCAAAAGTAAATGATGATGATATATACTCTCTATAGGCAGAATTGGATGAGTAGGAGGAGCTCACGATAGACTTACACACGGTTAGAAAGGACAACAAGAAAATTGGTGGAGGTTTCATGGCACATTTGAAAACATCCTATTGCATGATCTAAATGTGTTTGTCTTTACTTTCTTACAGGCTGTTTCCAGCTATGTAATGTTTTTCGGTCCCATGAGATGGAAATTGAGCAGTGCTTGCTGGAGTCCCTCCCTCTCGGCCAGCGGCAGCGGCTGGTGAAACGGATGCGCTGTGACCAAATAAAGGCATATTATGAACGAGAAAAAGCTTTCCAGAAACGGGAGGGCTACGTGAAAAAGCTGAAACATGGAAAGAATCATCGAGTTCGTTTTAATCTTGCTGATATGATACAGGATGCAATCATACGTCATGATGATAAAGAAGGTACTTAGTAATTTTGAACTACTTTTTTCTTTTTGTATAGCTAAAAGTTTCTGAGGAAAAGCTTCCCTGTTCTGCTTACCTATCTTTAGGAAAAATACAATTTTACATGACAGTAATCATAAAGTGACTGTCATAATTGAATATACAGGCATGTATTGCATACAATATATTATAGCTTGTTACTGAAATGAATAAGGCATAGCGAATAAACCTTCAGAAACCTAATAAATTTAGACTGAGGTTAATATGTATATAAAGTGATATATTTCAAAATCAGTAACGACTATGATCATCATTATGTCTGGCCACTTACCTACATGAACCATAGAATTTAACACAAGTTCCTTTGAAAATTAGGGGGTTTTAATTTTAGCCAAAATCTAGAGCAATGAATCCTGCTGTTAGTGACACTGGCCTGGCTAGAGCAATGAGATGGTGTTGACACATAGTCACACCAGATAGTGGGTCATCTTTCTGGTTTTGAAATGATGTTGCTGTCCTTTTGAAATATATAACCACATATTAGAGGTTCTGTTTTTAGTTTCCTGGCATTGTTTGAATCCCTGGTGCAGCCGATAGTAATCTGAGGAATTTAGTAATTTACTCCTCAAAAGGGAACCAAACCTTGCAGTAAGGATCTCTCCAGTTTTAGAAGTCCCCAGGAATCCCCATACTGTTGTGGGGGAGGGATATAAGAAAAGAACTGATGCAATGCTTGCAGCAACCCCTTGGCAAACAGATTTTTATGGCAGCTCTTTGTAATCACATTAGCACAAAACTACCTGAATAAGGGAGGCTCTGAAATAGAGTCACATCACACAAATGAACTGGCAAGTTTCTCCTAATTTTTATCAGTTTGATTAAATGTAGGGTTTTTACTCACTCCTGAATCTTCATTCTAGTGAGCATTTGGTCTATCATTACTTATCACTGAGGTACAGTCCTACATACTTAGCCCTATACAGGATATGAATCAAAGAGCTCATCTCTTCAAGTGAGTACCCAGGGCAACATTTATAACTAAGTTACAAATAAAATTCACAACCTTTCATTCCACTCTCCTAGTGTGTAAAAGTACAGGGAATATAAGTGAAGATCTTTCTTCGTGTTCCCATAGCTCCCAACTTTCTCCAAAACCCAAGCAGGATACTAGATATGACTTTTAGCATTCTGTAAAAGTCAGATACTTGAGGCTATTTTTGACATTTATGCTGAAGAAATGCAGCTTGCTCGCTGGAGGGGTGACGGGGCATCCACAGTCTTTTGTGTTGCAGAAAGTTCAGCAGACTGAATAGCATGAGCCTAAAGGGAAGATACAAGATATGTCAGTCAGGCAAAGGGAGGTAAGGTGGGGGAAAACCAGGGATAGTGTCTTGCGCTTGAAACAGATAAAACAGGTCCCCAGAAGCAAGGAGTTCAAATAGCTCGCAGATAACCCCAGTAGGACTAACAACACTATCCTGAATTTGCGGCCAGTGGTCCTTTCATAGGACCATGAAAAAGTGTGATTGTTGTCTTTAAGCAGCTTGGGGACCTGCAAGTGCCTGTCTGTTGTGTTTGTAACCAAATGTTCCCACTCCCTGTTCACTTTGAGCTGAATAATGCTATACTAAGAACTGTTATCATGTGAGCTGATAAAAACAAAAAGTAAAAAAAAAAAAAGAATTGAAACTCATAGACAGAGACTGCTCTCCTACTATTGTTGCTGAGTGGAACCGTGACTCTCTAATGAATATATCTACATTAGGATTTCAGTTCAAATTAGACATATGCCTTTGTAGTAAATACCATATCCATTTACTGTGTTTGGTCTTGTTTTATGGAGCATGCAAACTAGATTCCTTTCAGACAAAACTGAACTGGAAGATGTGGTCTGGATGTGGACACCTAGTGCCTCCAAACAGTAATAGGTTTTCAATGCCATTTAAAGGCCAGGCTAGACGTAGGCTGAAGTAATGCCACTGAAACAGGTATAGCTGGGGAAGTTGGGCTTTTGGCACCACCTGTTTCTCTGGTCTATTTATTCATATTTCAGTCATCCATTCAACATTCATCATTCATATTACACATCACTATTTACTGATGGGTATGTATAGCCAGTATGTTAATTGTGATGAATCCTGATAATTGCACGGAGTATCTTCCACCTCACTACAGTTTCATGTCAACTTTATCTGTACAGCTGGAGTAAAGACAGCTCTAGTGTGAAAAAGATGATCTGAACCCTCCCCTTCACTGGGTCCTAAGGCAGAATTGACTGCAATATAAGGCTACAGATGGGAGTGAGCACTCATTTCCTGGTTGTTCAAATGTCACATCATCTCTTCAGCTCCCTGCTTTTGGTAAAATGGCCTGGGGAATGGAGAAAGAGGTTGTAATAATGGGTTAAGCAAACAAAGGTGGGAGCCAGGTTTTATCAGCTTGTCAGCCTTCCTTTCTTTCCATAAATCCATGTCTGGTCTCCAGAATCTGGCTTCTACTGCACACTGTGCTCAGTAATCAACAGCATTCCCAAATACGCTCAATTTGAATAGAGGGACCCAAATTCAGTAATAAGTATTTAAAAAGTCCTTGTCTTTGGAAGAGCTTGGCATTGAACAAGCATTTTGTTTTAAAAGTAGCTCATGCAAGTAAGTAGTGGAGAACTACCTTAACATGAATTAGTAATCATAATGTAATGACTTAGAATAAAACCCCTTCTGCTATATGAAGATAAGTTGTTATACTAACAAAAAAAAAAAAAAACAAAAAAAAAAAAATACCTTGCTTCATAAGAAAAAAAAATGTTTTGACAAAAAAAAAAAAAAAAAAAAAAAAAAAAAAAAAAAAAAAGGTACTCAGACTGATCTGAATATTGTATATTTTGAAATAAATGCTGGAAGTAATCAAGATGACAACTAAGCAATTCTTCAAAAATTGTTGTGTTTACTAAACATTAATAATCAGCAGCAGGGTATTTTAATGCAATTTGAATGTCTTTACTTTTTCAGAGATAATTTAATTTTCAAACTAGACATTTTGTTTATAATGTGATATTTAATAACAAGTGTAAAGCTGTATTACAACATATTCAGTACTCAAATAGCTTTAGTCGATTAAATTCTATCAGGCGACACCTTTTCTTGTGGGTAATTAATTTTGTGAGCTTGAAGTGCAATGGCTTTGAAGAGATGAATTCCACTCAAGGTATAATAGAACTCATTTGGCTGTGAATAAGCCTGATCCTGCCATTCAGGATGCATGGGCAGACTGTGGCATCCAAGAAGAGGGCTGTGCAAGCTGGCTACTTTAAATTAAGTAGCTGGATACACATAGACTGAGTCGATTTTGTGATGAGAATATGCATGGTTTTGTACTGTTTTTGTGATCCTTGGGTTCAAAGTGTTTATAAGTTCTCAAGCTTCACATCTTTAAGGGTGTGGGGTTTTTGTAAAATGAAACTGAAAATCTCAAGGCTAAAATTCTGGGATTCATACAGTTTTCTTCCAGTTTTACCATTGGAAGAGGGTATACAATACCAAAGTTCTAAAAGAGCAGACTCATCTGCAGAGAATTGAAGCTCGGACTGTTTTCTTCAATTTTTAAATGTATTTAGGAATTGTTTGCAAATCTTGGGCTCTTAATGCTTTATCCACAACTATGTGCTTCCTCCATTCTTTAAATGGAAGCACTTCCAAAGTCTCTGTGACTGTCTTCTGCTCCTCTGAGATCGGTAAGCAGAATCCTGTTTGCTGAAGAATCCTGGAGTAGTTTTACTTGGTCTGATTATAAAAAAATTATGTCAGTTACACATAGTAATTAAGTAGAAAATACATTGCATGGAGCTCATGGAAGAACAACAAAACCAGGATGAATTATAGAGAGTGATTAAAAAGGAGGTGGTGAAGACCTATGAGAGTGATAAAGCAATGCTCATATCTGAACAAGTTTGAACGCAGCTGGTAATAATTCAGCAAGAAGGAACACCTATTCTATAGGTAGAAAAGACAGCTAGAGAGGGATGTTTTACAGTTCTATGAAGGGAATACAAAAAGTGTGGTATAAAAAGTGGAAAGAGAACACAACAGTAGAATAGGGTAGAAGTATCTTCCCAAGTAAAGTCCAGGGGCTCATTTCTTATGGAATATCATAAACTATATAAAGTGGACAGCACATTTGGAAATGGTGAGAAGTAGTCTGGTTGGGTAGGTGAGATAAATTGGATAACATGAATATAAATAAAGATGAATTTATAATGTGGCTAGTGCAGAGATATTTCACACCTGAGTCTGATTGGAATTTCACTCTTTAGAATTCATTGTCTTTGTTATTCATGAGAAAGGTGACATATCTTCTCCAAAGTTACTATAGCAGCTGCTATGGGCACAAAATGCGTCTCTGATACTGCATGCTAATAGGTGTGATCATTAGTTGACATTTTTACCAGTGGCCTGCTTTGTCTCAAGTTTAGAAATGGAATATATGCTCATTATATTTCTCACAAAGTTAAAACCTAGCAAAATGTTGTATCTTTGTTCGGTTTGGAGGCTTTTTTTTTTTTTTTTTTTTTTTCCCTCCTGTTGTTCCTAACTGAAATTTGGTCTTTTATCTGACCCAGGGAAACTGAAGGGAAATCCTCCTTCTGTTTCTCCCTGCAGTTTCCTGCAATTTCTCTTTTTTAAAGTGATATGCTTTTTAGTGCTGTTGGTGGGCTACATTCACCCACACTACTAACAGTGAGCATTTTGAGAGATTTTGCAACTATCATTCTCAGTGATGACATGTATAGAAGCAGAAGCTGGTGAGTAAGTGTTTTCTGACACCAGTTTTGTACATCTCTACTGCTGGCAAGGGAATACCTGTAGCCTTTAAAAATCCTGGATAGCTTTGTTCTATGAGATGTTAAATCCCTATTAATAATGGACAGCAGGATATTTGTCCTGCTGACATCAATCATATAATTTTACTGCAAATTGAGAGATGTAGCCAAGCAGGCTTCTGCATCCCATTCTTTCCTGCTG